CATGTAAGTGCTTGCCCAATATCCGGAAAACACGGAGAAGAGACTGCAGTGTGACCTTCCTCCCTGGAGGGGGTGGACTTCTGTTTCGCTCTCTCTCTGCCTCTCTCTGGCAAGCACATGCACCATATAACAAAAACTGGGGAATTAGAAAAAAAAAAAAAAGAAGACAAGACTTTGAGAAAAGCAAAAACAAGTCATTTCTGTTTACAATAACAAAATATTGAAAGCTGAAAAGGATCAGGAATCTTTTAGTTTAAAGACTTCTATATATTGTATTTCAATGAAACACTGATTCCTGAACAAATCCCTCTTCTCATATACCAATTATATTTTTTTAAAAGAATTATTTTGTTTAACTTTATTTATTATTATTATCATTATTATTTTCCAGTTTTGATCAGAGAAAGACAGATAGTAAGTGAGAAAGCAAGCCACCAGATCCGAGACTTGAACCGTGGTCGGCCATGTGGGAGTCCAGCGCCTTTAACCACCATGCCACTTGCTGGCCCCTATATCAATTATATTAAAGCAACAATCTCCAATATCAGTGGAAAGCAACTGGGAGTGCTGGCCTCCTGTGGACTTCTTAGTCCACACTGTCCTCTAGCCTCTCTCTCCTCTTTAAATCACGCCACTCATAGTCCCACTTTTGTGTTTGCCATCCTACCAACTGCCCCAAACATTTTGCTTTACTATTCTTTCACAACATCAAAGAACGTATTTGCATAATTTCACTTATGGGAAAATTTCTAGGGCCCGCTGTTGTATTTATTGAGCTCTATGTGCAAATAATGTCCACAGCACTTGGGTGGTCTCTTGACAGTACAAGGACACATCTCTTTAGCAGCTGCCAACTTAACCTAGTTCAGCTTTGCTGGTCTAGAGATTACAGTGCAGAAAGATAAGCCACCTCCACTCCAGATCATTCTAAAATAAACTGTGCTGAAGGTAGGAAATTACCTTTGGAAATCATAGGACTACCATTGAATCTTAAGATGTAAATATTGATTTAGAAAAATGTGCTAAGTGAAAATAAGTTTCTTTTTTTTTTTTTGAGAGGTTTTTTTTTCACTATAGGGCGCGTGCGCTCGCCAGAGAGAGACATAGAGACAGAAAGCGAGAAATCACCCACCAGGGGGGATGGTCACGCCGCAATCCCTTCTCCTCCATTCTCCTCCCGGGATCTTGGGCACGCACGCACACATGCCTGGCGTGAGTTTTAAGCCACCGGGTCCGGGACGCGAACCGCGGTCGACTACGTGGGAGTCCAGCGACATAGCCATTACGCTAACTGCTGGTTCCCAAGTTTCACACAACAAACGTTGTGTGAAGTTTTTTCTTAACTTAGTGTCTGCTGTTTAAATGGCAAAAAAGAAAAAAAAAAGAAAGAAAAAAAGAAAGAAAAAGCCTGAAAACAAATCATGTAAATGCTAGGAAAATGAAGATTTAAGAAATAATATCAGCATCAATCATTTGAGTGTACAAGTAAGAAATCTGGATACTCCTTGACACTGCCCTCCTTCATAGCCAATTTAAGTATTTTTATTTTTCTAAATATTTCTCTTTTAAAAGTGTATTTATTGGAGCCAGCAGGTGGCATGGTGCTTGAGGCGCTAGACTCCCACATGGCCAACTGCAGGTTGAATCCTGGACCCAGCAGCTTGAAACTTACTCCAGGCATGCGTGCGTGTGTGCCCAAAATCCGAAGAGGAGAATGGAGGAAGAGGGATTGCAGAGTGGCCACACTCCCTGGAGGGGGGTGATTTCTCACTTTCTCTTTCTCTCCAGAGAGCAACCATGCCCTATGACAAAAATCTCTCAAAAAAAGAAAAAGTTGGGGCCAGCAGTTAGCATAATGGCTATGTTGCTGGACTCCCACGTAGTCGACCGCAGTTCGCGTCCCGGACCCGGTGGCTTAAAACTCACGCCGGACACGTGTGAGTGTGTGCCCAAGATCCCGAGAGGAGAATGGAGGAGAAGGGATTGCGGTGTGGCCATCCTCCCTCGGGGTGATTTCTTGCTTTCTGTCTCTCTGTCTCTCTCTGTCTGTCTGGCGAGCGCATGCGCCCTATAGCGAAAACCTCTCAAAAAAAAAAAAAATAGAAAAAAAGAAAAAGTTGATTTATTTCTTCTTCCAAAAGAGAAAGTGACAGACAAAGACAGGCATCCACAATAAAGTCTTCGTACCGCAAGTCCACCCCAATCTCAGCAGGCCCAAACTGCAGACACCAGTGGGCATTTGCAGTGTACTCACGAGACCCCAGGACCTTTCTCACACGGAGCCAGTTGCAGTATGGCTGCACCACCACCTGCCCTCTCTTCCTGTTACATCCATTCACTTGTCTCTTACCCATTTCCTTCTTACTAGTCCTCTTCTCCAGCAAACGTTCCATCAGCCATGCATGGAAGGGGAAGAGTGCCAAAGGGCAGCTGGAGAGGGAGGTGGGACTGAACTTCTCTCCTTCCTCTGAAAGTGGTAAGGTTTGACTGGGAAAGGACGCTCCCAGCACCAACTTTGCTATTCATTGCCTATTTGACTTGAAACAAGGGATTTACCTCCTGTGCATATTTCCTCTCTGTAAAATGGGAATGAGAACATTAATTACCTCATGGCATAGCTGTGAAAGTCAACTAAGTCCAGATAGCTGTCACTCTCTTATAGAGATGATTTCCATGGTTTTGATTACCCACTATATACTGTAGGGTTGTGGGAAAAGTCTTGTGCATTTCTGTATGGATTTTCAGACATTGAGAGACAGAGTGACCCCACATTCATATAACTTTTATTACAGCATAATTGTAAAAAGAATGATTTATTTTATTTATTTATTGTAATTAGCTATAGGGCATGCATACTCACCAGAGAGGGACAGGGGGGCAGGGGAGAAGCAAGTCACCAGGTCTGGAACTCAAACAGGGTTCAGCCTTGTTCTTTTTATTATTATTGTTAACTTTCACTGTGCTTGATTTATAAATTAAACTTTGTCATAGATTTGCATATATAAGAAAATAAATAATTATGTATAGAGTTCTGTACTATCTGCAGTTTTGAATATCCTCTTGGAACTGATCTATTGCAAGATATGAGCGACTACCTGGCTGAGGGCGCAGCACAGTGTCAAGAACCTGTTGGGTGCTGGATTTCTTGCTCATGGAAGAAATACATGAATAAATCCCAAAAGTCTTCTTGGAAGGGGTACTACCAAACATGTACAACGCAGAGAGCACAGACAGGGATTCAATAAACCAGGATCCACAGCTATTACAATCATCGCCCGGGGCCTGGCGCTCAAGCGCTCACCGCACTGTGTGACCCTCTTTCCCAGCATTAACATGGCAACCATTCTATATTTTACTCCTCAAACAGCTGTCAATTAAGGTCTCTCCCTCTGCTGTAAATTTCATGAAGCAGAAATCACGTCTGCTTTTGCTCTTCCTAGCACAGTGTTTGGCAAAGGAAAGCACTGAAATATTTGTTAAGTAAATCTCAGAAGTCAAGCAAACCCGTGACACCCGCGGCTCCCAGTGAGTCACTTTAGATGTCTTCAGAATTTAGACGCAAGTTTTCTATCGGCTATAGTTCTTCTCCAACCTCACCAACAATAGAATCACCTGGAAAGTTTTCAACTCTATTCAGACTCAGGCTCCAGAGATTTTATTATGAGAGGTTTGGGGTCAGCCAGAGCCACCATCTAAGACTCCAACTCTTCTAGTGCAAAGCAGGCAGAAAAGCTGTAGTAGGTGCGCTGCTGCCACCTGCCTGGGCTCAGGTGTGACCATCTCCATCCTGACTTCTTGCTTTTTAATTTGACCAGCTACCTCCACACTTGGTTGAATTCTCCTTTCCTATTTAGATAATGGGAGGGGGCGGAGAATACTGGAAGCGCCAGCTTTATGGGCAGGATCTTGGCTGATGGAACAAACCATGCTGTTCAATTGCAATCCTGGCTGCAAACCTGTTGGGTGACTCCAGATTCAAGCACTTGCCAAAGCCTCTCATTCGGGACACTTCTGCCCCTAGAGGGCAAACGCACAGGGTCGTGAACCTCTTTATTTATTTAGTATGTATTTATATAGGTTTTTCTTTAGTATTAAAGGCCATCACAGAATTTCCTGCAGTGCAGAAGAAAGATGGTGACCACTGCTTTAAAGGCTGAACTCCGCAACCCCTCTCTTCTGGGCGTTGCTCCCCAGGTGGATTCTAGTCCTCAGTTTCCTTCCTATCAGTCTCCTGCTTCATATCCGTCCATTTCTGACCCTTTCCACTGTCCGTTTCCTCCATTTTTGAACGATTTTATCTTATTCCCCGACCGGGGTCCAAATGCGACCCCGAAATACAGGACGGCGCCACCCCTCGCTAAGCCGCCGCCAGCTCCAATAGAGAGAGAGGCCGGGGAAGGGGGCAGGGCGTAGGGCTGCCAGAATCGGGTCCCTTCACGCCTGGGGAGGCAGGGGTCACTCCGGATCGCTGGAAACCCAAATACCCCAGACGCGTGGGTCTGCGGGAGGTCAGAGGGCCCGTAGTGCTCACGTGGTCTCGCGACAACGCTGGTCCCTGCGCGGGGAGCCCCTCGCGTAGCGGGGAGACAGTGTCTCCGACCCAGCCAAGGAGCCGCAGTGCCCCAGGCCAGAGGAGTCGCACATGTTTCCCGCTCCCCAGGAAAAGGGGCGAAACGCGGATTCCGGACCCAACAACACAGGTCGTTCGGGCACCCGCGAGGGTCGCGAAGTAGGGGGCGACCGCCAGAATAAAGGAGTCGCGCAGTCGGTGCGCGCATTTCCTGCGGAGGGACCGCTCCACTTACTGATCCCCGACCCCACCGCAAATCCTGACTTTGGGGAGCAGCCATGTCCCAAAGGCATGGGTGGGAAGGGAGTTAACTCCCCGGGCGCGCAGAATGCCCATCCGTTCTGACCACGAGCAAAGTTTGGTGATGCCGGCAAAGCGCGCCAAAGCACCCCCCAGAACCGTAACCTCAGAACGCTCGGCGACCACTCACCGCGTGCCTGCGCCTCCATGGTGGCCGACTTCGAAGAACTGAGTGCCGCGTCCCCGCCCGGGCGCTTCGCTGAACAGACGGCAGCGGTGCGGGAGCGCCGAACAGCTGGTCCCGCGGCTCGTGCCC